AAACCAGCAACACAGATTCAGAAGAGCAAAATAAGAAAAAGAAGAATGAGACTGATTTTTTTTTTTTGTTCTTTTGAAGATAAAAACTAAAAATTAAAGATACGCAAACCTGATTTAGGGATCTAATGCTCTGTTACCAAGATGATGAGAACCCCAAAGAGAACAATGAGACCCACAGCATGACAAGGGATTTTTAAACTTCAGGTTTATAATAGGACCTTAACCTGTTATTTATGTCGCAACAAGAACCAAAGGTGAAAACCTTGACCTGTTGTCTATGATGCAACAAGAACCAAAGGCATAAAGTTGGTTGACACCACACCCTCGAACGATTAAGAACGACAATGATAAGTCAGGTTAGAACGCCACAAGAATAATCTTGATAAGTTCTGTAAAGTTCTAAAATGAACCAAAGAGAAAAGTCTCTCAAAATCTCAGATTCAATAGCCTCCTTCCCCATTAGGGTTACAAGCCTTTTAAATAGAGAAAACAAATCCTAATTAGAATAGGAAACTAACACCCTAAGTCCTAAACCTAATAACCATGAATTGGGCTTCAAATAAGTGAATGTTCAGCCCAAAAATAATACAAAAAATGTGAAAATCACTAAAAATAACCTAAAATAACACGAAATATCAGTTAGCTACAAATTACGGCAAAATTGTGCGATTTTGACGCAAACTATGTAATTCCATGCAAATGACCTTAACTAAGCTTCTCTTGAACTTGAATGATGTTTACCCTGCCTTGATAATCATCAAAGCTTCGATTTGCTTGTTGTATGTTGTTTTCAACCCAGATCTGCTCAATAAGGCCATTTAAAGCTTCACGCATCTTCTTAGCTCTAACTCGCATGACTGGACCTCCTTAGGTGTGTAATGGATCACATGACATAGTAGATATGCTGTCGTCTTGATTTCCATCACCCCCTCAACTGTTAAAAAATTTTAAATTTAGTACATAGATTGTTTTTTGTCCTTTAAAATTTTTAAAATTATATTTGACTTGTGAAACTTTAAGTTAGCTCATTTAACTCTTTATAATCTTTATAATTTTTCATATTTAACAACTCAAAGTTAATACAATTTATAACATTTTTATTATGCTCACCATGTCAAATAAAGAGAGAACATTAAAACATGATTAAATGTTTTGCAAATATGAAAATATTATAATCTAAATGAATGATTTTCTTGAGAATAAATTTGAAATCAAGGCCATTAATTAAATCCAAACTCAAAAATCTCCCCTATTTTAAGTTTTTGAATTGTTTTATGATTTTATTTTTAACTTTTGTCATTTATTTTAAAAAGTTATTTGATTAAAAAAAACTTTAATTGATGAAAAGGTTTGAGTTTTTATTTTGTCAATAATTTTAATTTCTAAGTACTGAATTATATGTTTTATCTCTCATATTATTTAGTTTTTTGGGATGGAAAAATATAACTTTTTATAGACAATCAATTAAAAAAATAGACATTTTTAGGTAGAAAGAGTAAATTTTGATAGATAAGCTAGATTGATATGAAAAAAAGTGTAAAAATTAAATAAAAAAGGAAAAATAAAATTAAAATTCAAATTAATTTAGGTAATGGCATCTCTCCTAACAACCATTTTAAAATTCAAATAAAGTTAACAAGTAAATTAGGTAAGCATCTATCATAGCAATTATTTTAAAATTTGAATAAAGTTTGTAAGTTTACTAAAAGCAATGTTGCATGTTGCAGCGATTGTGAGGCATTGGGTCACACAACCTAATATTGTATTTATAGGAAAAAAATAAAAAACTGACAAAGTAGAAAAAGTTATGTGACTACTCTACACATTTTATGAGACTTGAAGAACTAAAATGTATAACAAGTCAATATAGTGTGGTCATGATGCCTGAGCACTACGCTTGATTGCAGAGCAAAACAAAGACCTCCTTCAATCCATCTCAAAATCTACATTATCATTCTTTCCATTAGGGCAAATTTTCTCTTCCCATGTACAATCCTCATCATTCCCTTCCAAATTCTTCTTTGCCCAATTGAATTGAAATGATTGGAATATCATTTTTGTTCCTCACAACCCACCACACCAACAATGGGTGTTCTTCACCAAAACAAATGCCTAGGTTCCATTACCTAGACGTACTAGGCAAGGTGGCGGGCAGTGACCTAGCCTAGGCAAGTGTTACGGAATTAATTTGTATTGCTTTTGAATTCACAATATGTGTAATGCCACTTTAATAAGATCAGCTTTAGACTTGTGACTAGAAAAGGCGCACATGATTGATTTCCACATCAAACAAACTATATTCTATTGTTTGCTAATGACTGCAATGGGGTTAGTATTGCCAGAAGCAACACTCACCCACTTTATTAGTAATATTATAGACATGATCTACTTCAACACTATTCTCATATACATGGCTAGATACGGCTACATTTATTTCTACAACATCGTTGAATATCTTGACTATTGTGATTTCTACTACATCATTTGTTGCTACATTTCATTAGCTCCCAGTAATGGATAAAGAATCTATCTTGCTACATCTACATTGCTCCCATCAAAGGATAATGAGCTGATTTTATTATATCTACATAGCACCTGACAATGGACAAAAGGCCAAACAGCTACTTTACATATTGCTATCATTGGTCCCCATTAATGAATAATGGGCTAATTCTATTACATCTACACAACTTCCAACGATGGATAAAGGGCTAGACTTGTTATTTTACTTAGCCTCTGGAAACAAGCAAGGGGCTACATCTACATTGCTATATCTTTACAAATTTTACTACATTGGCTCCCGAAAATGAATAAAAGATCAAATCTCTCTACATATTTTATTTCGTTGGCTCTTGGAAACAAACAAAGAATCAATGCAACTTGGTACGATTAGTGTGAGGCCAATAACAATTGCAACCTTGTGATTAGTTGGGATGGATACGCTTTAACGATAAAAATCCATCAAGTTGTAATTGACAACTTCTTGGTAGTCGCCTGTGCATGATGTTGTGGTTGGGGTACGTTTAAGAAAGGCCATTGTTCTATCATGGTATCACGCCTTATTCGTATCTAATGGGAATCAAGATGATAGCACATGTACCATGTCAAGTGATCCATTACACATTCAAGGTGGTCCAGTCATGAGAGCCAGAGCTACGAAGATGTGAGAAGCTTTAAATGGCCTTTGAGCAGATATGGGTTGAAACCAACATGTAACAAGTAAACCGAAGCTTGGATTATCAAGGCATGGTAAATATCGTTCAAGTTCAAGAAAAGCTTAGTTGAGCTCATTTATACTAAATTACACAGTTTGCATCAAAATCGCACAATTCTGTCGTAATTTGTAGCATACATTCATTTATTTGAAGCTCAGTTTGTGGTTATTAGGTTTAGGACTTAGGATGTTAGTTTCCTATTTTGATTAGGATTAGTTTTCTCTATTTAAAGGACTTGTAACCCTAATTAGGGGGCAGCTATTGAATTTGAGTTTTTGAGAGACTATTCTCTTTGGTTCATTTTAGAACTTTATAGAACTCATTAAGATTATTCTTGTAGCATTCTAACCTGACTTATCATTCTCGTTCTTAATCGTTTACAAGTGTGGCGTCAACCAACTTTATACCTCTAGTTCTTGTTGTGTCATAGACAATAAGTTAAGGTCTTTATCTTTGGTTCTTGTTGCGACATAAACAATGGGTCAAGGTCCTATCATAAACCTAATTTGGCTTTCCTTGAGTTTCAAAATCCCTTGTCGTGTTGTGGGTCTCATTGTACTTTTTGGGGTTCTCATCAGTATCAGAGACCACGGATATGGCTGGCATCCCTCTTTCATGGATAACACTTTATCCAATTTTTTTTTAATGTTCATCGCTATGTTGGAATTCTGGATTAATGAGATGTACCATTTCACAGCTTGGTAGATTATTGGGAATGCTCTTCCTTTGCTCTACATAGTTCACACTCTAGCCATGGGCAAAGCTAGCCATTGTTGTCCTTCAACCATAAGAAGTTATTCTTGGCTAACCTTGCAATACACATATAACATGGCTGGCGGTCATGCACATTATTATTCTTTTTACATAAAGGTGCAAAATTATCGGTTGCTAGTAATCCCAATCTATACTAGATTTCTACTATATTTTTACATGTTAGTAGGAATTGTCGACTAGTGGCACTTGGCTGAGTAAAGCAATACTGTAGCACACATCTATATTACTCATTGTTTATCTTAGTGTATTACCAGTCATATGCAGCAATATTATATAAGTGTTTCCTATGACTAGTGGATAAAGAGGCATAACAATGTTTGTTCTCATCATCCCCTTTGATACACAAAGGAGTATTCTTCTTTACTATAAGCACTTAACATATTTCACACTTATATATTTGAACAAATACTCATTCATATTTTTCTCTTTGATGTAGATGAACATCAAGTCCATGAATCCAAGCTCATGAGGATTAATTGAGATAAATTATGGGAATAGTGGCTTGACAGCCATGGATGGATAAACATTGCCATTTGGTGAAGTATAGTATTTGCGCTAACTAAACTTGGGGTTGGCGATGTTGCTTGTCTTTATCACAAAATGATGGGTGGCAACTATGTCGAGGCAAAATTTGATCCCAAAACCACATTTAATGCTAAGTAGAAGACCTGCAACCCCATTAAAAATCAACTAGAGATGCCATTTGAGTCTCCTTCACTAACTTGCAATGGTATTGAACGTAAAGATGGGTACACAAGTTTCACTACATGGGAAAGTGCCAAAAGAGATTACATTTTTCTTGGGAAGTTTGTTAAAATCTCAGATAGAGGCAGTTTTGTTGGTGATGCTCAATTACATACCAAATATGGCATTATATGTGGAAATGAAGTTGTCAAGAATGAGAAGGTTTTAGCAAACCAACTGTCCTTTGCTAGAAATGTTGGAGAATTCATAATTACACATTAAAAGCAGTTAAAAGTGAGTAGATCTATAAAAACTTAACACTGGTTGTCACACAACCTAAATCTAACCATTGGACAAACCCAAAAATTATTGAAATGCCACTACATATCTATTTGATTTTTCCTTCATTTTTCAACACATAGACATATAGCGAAGGAAATTTTCCAGTTTTCACGTATTAGATACATTTTCTACTTTGAAGAAATCTTCATGTTCAGCCTCTCAACTCTCCTACAAAAATCCCCTGGAAATCTCCATTTCTCATATTTTCTTACATTACTAGCCATACAAATTATTCTCCAAACTTATAGCTCAGTATGGTTGGAAGATTTCATGTCATAGCTTGAGGATTTGGGTTGTTTTTTTTTTAGCATCAAAGGATTTTGCAAGAAAGTTAGTATCACAGAACGAGATCAAGTCCTCCATCAAAAGCTCCTTATAACGGTCATCCATTTTTCTATCATCACTACCTTTTAGTTTATTCTTTTTTGTTTTGTGTAAGTTTGAAGAAGATTATTATATTTTAAGCCCCCAATATGAGGGTTGCTTATTTTAGAATTGGAGTGTGTGTTAAGGATAGCATAGGGCACATTTATTATGTTTATTATTATTTGGCTTAATTTAAGTTTTAATCTATTAACTATCACCTTGATTTCATTTTAGTCTAGAAACTATGTTTTATTTCTAAGTGGTCTATTAACTTTTAGATTCATTTCAATTTCATCTACTTGGTCAAATATAACGGAAAACTTCCTATTCTGTTAGTCCTCTAACTATATTTTTTTGATCTTTTAGTCCTTAAATTTATATTTGTTATAAAAATAACTTTTTTACTTAAAATTATTATTTATAAGCTCTGATACTAGATTTTTATATGGGTTTTCCTATTTCTTTAATTTGGTATCAGAGCTTGAAAGTTAATAGACCACTTAGAAATAACAATTTTAAGTATAAAAATTTGGTATCAGAGCCTAAAAATAATAATTTTAAGTATACAAGCTATTTTTATAATAAATATAAATTTAAGGACTAAAATGTAAAAAAAAATATAGTTAGAGGACTAACTGTTCTCTAACAGAATAGAAAGTTTTCCGTTATCTTTGACCAAGTAGACGAAATTGAAATGAATCTGAAAGTTAATAGACCACTTAAAAATAAAACATAGTTTCTAGACTAAAATGAAATCAAGGTGATAGTTAATAGACTAAAAATTGAATTAAGCCATTATTATTCCATCATGTATTTTATATAAGTGTACTTCTCGAGTTGTAAAAGTTTATTTTTATATATTTTATATCTTTGCTGCTCTTACTGTAATACTCATTACTTGTTCACTTTCTGTAGTAGTTGTGTACTCATGATTTGATCTTGAATTTCCACATTGTGGTTTCGCCCTTTTGCCTTAGCTACGGAAGTTGTGTCTTTAGACTTTGCTGGAGAACTTTATGTAGTTTGCTTTGTTAGGTGAAGGAAGGTGGATCGTGGCACATAACCTCTCGCATGTGAAACGAGTACAAGCCAAAAGGACCCTATTTATTACCCGTAGGGAGGTATTTTAGTTAGCTTACACATCATCTTTGTTGCTAACTTATCACCCCCTGCCCCTTAACAGTGAGCTTCTGTCAACAATGATTATTAAAAGAAATAACAAATGAATGTAAAATGAGTATAGTGGTGCCTTGGTGATTTAGAACCATTTGAAAAGCAAGAAGATGGTGGATTCCTTCATGGAAATGGGAACTGGAGTAAGCTAAAAGCAAACATTTGAAGATTTGTAGCCAAACCAATCATCTTGTTTATGTCAATAATGTGATACATCATAATCATTTTGTTAATATATGTTTGTTGATGCATGCTTTTGTATAGAATCAAACTTGGACTCGAGTAGTTTCCACATCATCAAGACTTGCCTTGATGAGAGTGCCTATTGATGCCTTGAATGTGCATTAGTAAAAGGCCCAACCATATCTAATGTTACAATACATGCTGCACCGCTAAACATACACAAGGAAGTCTCATTCCTTTATTGTTTTCTTGCTTATTAAATTTCATCATTTTCATCAACTGACCAATATTTTTATATGTAGGTCATTGATGAACCTCTGAATCCAAACTCCTTGGGATTATTTGAGATAAATTATGGGATTAGTGGCTTGGTAAGCATGGATGGATGAACATTGCCCATCTGGCGAAGTAAAGTATTCATGCCAGTCAAGCTTAGAGCTAGCGATGTTACTCAACTTTGCCATGAAAGGCTAGGTAGCAAACCTATAGAGGCAAAACTTGATATCAAAATTGCATCATTTGATGCTAACTAAAAGGCATGGAATCTCAATAAAAATCAACCAGAGATGCCTTTTAAGTCTCCATCAACAATTTGTAGTTGTATTTAATGCATGGGTGGCTGGACAAGTTTCCTTGCATGGGAAATTGTTGAAAAAGATTTCATTTTTCTTGGAAAATCTACCAAAATCTTGGACAGAGGCAACTTTATCGATAGTACTTAAGTGCTCACCAAATATGGTATTTTGCATGGACAAAGAACTACCAAAAATAGGGAGCCACCAGCAAACTAATAGTCTTTCACTGGAACCATTAGACAATTCATAATTTCACTTCAAAAAGCTATCAGCAATGCCCAAATCCATTCAAAACTTGACACCTGTCTTCACCTGACCCAAATCTGCACGTTGGATTAACTAGGCTACTTTGACCCAAACAACCCAAAATTACAAAAATGCCATTACATATATTTGATTTTTCCTTCATTTTTTTGCAGATTTCCATTCCACAAAAGATCCCATGCCTTAAACATATTTTTTCCCTCTCTTAAGAAATCTTCATCTTCAACCTCTCAACTCTCCTACAAAAAATTCCCTTGAAATTTCCATTATTTCATATTTTCTTCACTTACAGCCATACAAAATACACTACAAACTTATAGCACGTCATAGCTTGAATATTTCATATTACTATTTAAGGTTCTAGGTTATCTTTCTTGAGCATCAGAGAATCAATTAGTAGAAAAGTTAACATCATGAAATAGAATCAAGTCCTTCATTAAAAGCCTCCACAATGGTCATTCTTTCTTCTCCCATCACTACTTTCTAGTTTATTTCTTCTTTTACACATAAATTTGTAGAGAAATCATTGTACTTTGAACTACAGCTTAAGGGTTTTTTATTTTAGGAGTTTATACATTTTTGAAAGATAATAGAGGGCACATCTACTATTTATTTCTTCTATTCTACAACATATTGAATTTAGATATGCCCATTTTGTTGTATAAGTTGATATTTACATTTTTTTTATCGAAGTTATTCAAGTTACAATGCAACTTACCCATCTATTTCTCTCTCTCTCTCTCTCTCTCTCTCTCTCTCTCTCTCTCTTTTATGGTTTTATAATCATCATTTGGAGACATCACCTCTATCTAGCTCTTTTAGGTCAACTGGAGAAGGTTCACTCTCAGACTTTATTGGAGGCATTGGATTGCTTAACACTAGTTCATTTTGGTGGATAAGTAATCATAATTTTGGGAGCATTGTTATGGCCTCGCTCTTCTAGCTTGGCTAGGGGAAGCTTTATTTCTAGACTCATTAGAGAAAGCTTGTAATTTATCTTTACCAAAGAAGAAGAGAAGGGGAAGACTCTGTTATGCTCTTTTAACTTAGCTGAGGAAGTATTATTAGACTTTACTGAAGAATCTTGTGCAGCTTATCTTTGTGGGATAAAAGGAGATGGCTCAGGGCATGTAGCCTTTTGTACATGAAATGGGTACGAGCTAAAAGAACCCTCATCTCTTGTAAGGGAGCATTCTAGTCAACCCCCACATTATCATCACTGCTAACTCATCAACCCCCTATCCCCAACAAAATGGCAACTCCACTAAAGACATCGTCCTAGTGCATTGTCTTCCTTTGTTCTTCTTCAACAAAATCTCATCTTTAACAATATTTATTCATCATCAACAAAATTTTCTAACCATGTTGATCACAAGACAAAGCTCTTCACACAACGCTAATGGTACTCAAGATCCTTGCCATGATGATGGACAGGAAGTTCAACAACAACAACCTACAATAGAATCTTTTAATGATTGTTTTTTGCAAACTCAACATTGTGCATGATCCAAGGCAGCTAGCAATATGGTTGGGATGTCTAAGCCACAAGGAGTTTATACTAAGGTTATCAATGATGGTAATGGGGGCTTTGTTGTGCGGCTATATAACTTTACATTGCCAGTATTTGTAGCTAGCAGCTTCGATAGGGCACTTGTAAACGCAACTAAATCTATTCAAAGCTTCGTCATTATGGTGGACCTTATTGTTCTTTTAGATATGAAGCACCCCAGAAAAAGCTCAACTACTTTTCAGTTTGTACATGATCCATCATATTTGAAGGTGATCTTATTAAACCCACATTTAGAGAAGTATGAAAGTCCTTCATGTTAGCAATTTCCTTGATGTCTCAGGTGCTCATACCAACAATAAAGACTTGTGCTTGCATTCAGAGACTTAGCACTTGACTGTTGTGGCACCCATGCTGATTCATTCTTAGTGGAGATATGTATTAGCAATATGCTTCTAAAATATTGTATTATTTTTAAAAATATTAGGATAAGGCAATTTACAAGGTTACTTGACATTGTCAGAAGGATGATTGTCTTTATTGAAGCTATCACCACTAGTAGATCCATAGCAAAGTCAACAAAAAAGAAAGCTATAGCTCACACCTTAGTTGTTTATGTAAAACAAAGTAGAATGTTTAGCTTTTGAAGCCAATAAGGAAATATCTATTGAGCACTTTATGTCTCCTAGTAAGGCTGATTATCTTACATTGCTAGACAAGATTGCCTATCATTTTGCTTTGTCGACATTATAGTTTCATAGCTTCAAACCAATTAGCAGTATTATCTATTTGCACAAACAACATTTAAATCTTTTAGATATGTTTATACATTAGATGTGTTGTTAGCACTTGAGTTGCATCATCACAAACCT